AAAGTGCGTTGAGGTGCGATGTTCAGCAGTCGGGGTTACTTTGTGGCACGCGAAGGTATATTGAATGGTTCAAAAAAAAAAAATTAAGCGCTGTCAACCAGGAACTGAAACGTTTTCATCGTATGGTCAGTGAATAAAACTGTTTGTGATAGTACATGTCTGAAAGGGAGCTGTAATCAAAAAGTAATGCTCACTCAAATGATTCATCCTCTTCCACCACCTTGACCACGATTTTAGACTACGCCACGCATCATTAGTCGTATCAGCTGGTACTTTGAAGTCGGGGATAATTTGTTCTCCTTCTGACAGAGGTTTCTCCCCAGCTAGGATCTCGAAGAGATGAAGAACATTTTTCTTCTCTGGTTCTTCGGGTATCCTGGCGGCGACCTGCCTAAAGACCGATTTTTCGTTTACAGAAGAGCAAACAAGCTTCTCAACCCGTTGTACTGATCGTATCCAGTGTACCTATGGTGGTAGAGAAAAATTACCATATTTCGATATGACAAGTCAGCGTTATGCAAGCAGAACCTTTCATTCAGCAACCACGCTAATTTCCAAGGGATCATGCCTAAAATGATTATAATAGAAAGAACACCTATTCTGGAAATTAGCGCGGAATATCTTCAATATTTGAATGCTGATGAGGCTGCATACCGCGTTGCCCGAGTTTGATTGTTTGCTATCCGATATTCCACTTAACCATACCCGAATTCGCACCTACCCAATCCGAGAAGCCGACGCGTCTGTCTCGTGTCCCGGTATAAATTCCCTCACCTCATATGGCTACGATACAATGGCCGAATTTGTTAACGGTAGTTACCTAATCGTACCTTTTTAGTACGCCATAGTTTGGGCTGAATTACGCATAACCAAAATACAAACCATGGCTCGACTAAACTCATCTAATATGCCGCCGAGGCAAAACATATTTTTATTATTTCACAAATTTGCACCGAATACCGTGGTTTGATAGAAATTGGAAGAAGGTGCGACCATAAATTAACAATATACAATTCGTTGTTCGTTTACGGTTTATAAGATGCAGTGGCAGCGAGCAAGTTAACAACACAAACATTGGTTTTTTGATGGTTAAGATGATGGTAAAGATGACGTATATGCCGTTGCCAAGGCAACATGAATAAATCTAAACAGGTCTTTAAAATCGGTTTTGTTTATTTGTAGAAAATCTAGTCATTAGATTTTCTTTACAATTTGCATGCAACAAACTTGTAACGATTCTCACAAAGTCCTTATTGAAAACTGTCCAAATTCCCAAATTGGACAGTTTTCAGAAATTAAAGGAGTAATACACTAATTTGTAAGTATGATTTACTTGGTACATACATTGCAACCTCTGAGAAGCTTCGCTGCCAGGCTTTCCCCGATAGCATCTCTAAAGCCATTGCTTTCTGCATCACTGAAATCAACCACGATTTCCTCCAGAGCTGATCCCATTTTGAAGTCAGGGTGATCTGTAGTTGTTTTCTTAAAAACCTCTTTGATTGCCGTTGCATAGGTACCCCCATCTTGTCGGTTCAACAGGACACGCGCGACAGCATTGTCTGCATGCATAAATCAAATTAGTTGAATGAAAGTTTGTAAGCAATCAAAAAGAACTGACACATTTTGAGAAATGATGACCCTATAGCTTTATTTCTATTTTATAGAAAAGAGACGATAAAAAGAAAAGCCTTTTGCAGAAGTAAATTTGACTCTGTTTCATCTTAGCAAAATGAACATCAAGCAGAACATTAACTTTCTTGTCCTCTTAAACTTGTATATACTTTTCCTTTGCGCGGGGTTAGCAATAAACCATGGGCTTGAAAAGGGCGCATAAAAAAGAGAACTTGAAGATAAACTTACACTGTAAGCTGTCTTCGTTGAAAGCCACCATGTTGAGTAAATACGGGAAATCATTGCTGCCAGTGTAAGTAATGTCTGTAAATATCACTTTCGTGCAGCTTAATTGCTTTAGCTGGAAAGGAGACGCAAAGAATGCCATGTTTCGTTGAGGGGTAAAGATGTACTCCAGTCCTGCCATTTGATAATTACCCACAAGTTCCTCTACTTCCCTGACAAATTCGTCTTCGCCTACGAAACAAATACACGGAATATGTTCATATTTGCGTCTACTGTTTTGTAAGAGTCTATGTCTTCTCTTACATGGTTCCTTTCCGAATATGGGTTAACAGATCTTCTCAATATTCAACTCTACAATTGTAAAAACTTACATTTAGTCTCTTCGTCCACCTTCTTTTTGATCTTTGGAAACTGCTCGATAATGAAGAGTACTCTCGAGCTTCCGCTGACATCTGTCGAATGTTGGCTTAAAACTTTTTTCCTCTCCCTCCTTATGCGATCAATGTTGAGAGCTGCGGCACTGTTCTCCCCAGGTATATACTCCATACCCTGACCTGCAACATTGAAAATGAACTAATATAAAGAGAAACAATTTTAAATCCGGAGTGACTTTATAGAAATACCTTAGAGATAGGTTCTTGCTTTGTTTCTGTGGTTGATGTAACTCAAATTCATTCCACCTGAATGTAATGTAATGTAAGCTTGAACGAGAATCTGTCTTTCCGTACGTCTCAGTGGCTTGTAACCATGAGGCCTCTTTTTGGTTTCTAACTTATTCTTTTGAGGTTTTAAATCTGGAGATAAACAATGGAATGTGCCGATCATTTGAATAAAAGAGTTACATAGAAACTCTCAGAACGAATTACAGCGTAGATATACGAGAGAAACATATAATAGACTTTGAACTATCGTAACAATACAAGCATACAGTAACCTTTCAATAAATCCTTGGAAGTCTTAGTGATGTCCTGATGAACTGTTTGTTGAATGTCTTCAACCACTTTGCTCGAGATCTTGTGTTCGGCAGGTCTTGAATGATTATGCTTCACCTCTCCTTCGGCTGAAAAAACTCCGATCCATCTGCGATCATCCGTACTAATAGTGGGCCAAATATAAACAAAGTGAATAGGACATTTTCCGGTTCTTGTTAATGGTTTGGAGGAACCATGCTCCTTGCATTTGTTCCTTAACTGCGTATTTGCCACCGTGTAACCACATTTGTCAGCGCTGCATACTTTTACCCCTTCACAAGGTCCTCTCTTTACAAAGACTTCTGTTTCCACTCCATCGACCTCAGTTAGCACTTTTTGCTTTTGCGAGCCACGCGTTGTTAGCTGGTTATCCTCAGAAATAAAGTGAACCCTGTTTTTGGCTGCATACGGGAGTGTTTTAAAATCTTGGGTGAACATCAACTTTCCATTATTTTCAGAAAAGCCTGGAAACTCGTAATCTTCTCTTTTCTTGATGTCCACCCAGCTGCTTTTATCTTTTAAGAGTTTCCTAACTTTTGGTAGGAAATGAACTCCTCTGCTAGTGGTGGACTTGACATTGTTTCTGCTGTTTGATTTCTTATTTGGGTTGAAAGGATCTACCGATGGATCAAGAACGGAGATGTCGTACGGTTTTTGCACGAAGCATTTGCCTTTCACGGATGCAACATAGCGCCTTGACGTTTTATAAAAATTGTTGAACAAAGAGACTTTGTATGCTATGTCTACAAAACCTAGAGCAACACATTGCCTTAGCGCCCTGCTCCACCAGGTGGTATCATGTCCCATGCCTGATCCATACGTGGCAGACCCTTCAATGATAGGTTGCACGTCTCCTTCCTTTAACCAGTCCTGATTAGAACCTCGAATAAACGAGACAAGTTTCCCTTCGTTTACTCCGTCGCTGAATCTAGATAAGCCACATAATTCCTGAATTGCATTTATAACCGTCGTAGCTGTTTCCTTGCCGTTCATCTTCGGTTGATTTAATTGTTCTTCTTGGCAACTGTCACAACATTCATCGCCTGACAGAACGCTTAACTCCTCTGGATTATCCCCAAATGCTTTGACGAATTGTTTTCGAAGGCATTGACCGATATAAATTTGATACACGTACCTCCACACTGACAGGAAGTCCTGTTCTTGTTTTTCCTTCTCTTGGTCTGAACATCCTCTTGTCCAGTAACCAAACCGTTGATCGTCTTTGTTTTCGTTAAAAAGCAGAACAAAGTGGCCATTATTTTCCTCTCTAGCCGCCCTACCAAGCTCTTGCCCAACGGCCCTCATGTTACGTGCACAACCAACCCTTATTACAATATTGACATGTGGAGAATGTGTACCGAGTTCGAATGACTCAGTTGCAACTAAAACTTGAATTTCTTTGTTCCTGAAGGCCCTTTCGATCTCGACCTTTGCCGACACTGTCATGTCTCTGCCATGATATCCTTTAGCTTCTTCCACACCACACGCCTTTAAAGATTCCACCATCTTTTCTACGTCGTTTTTGAAATCAACGTAAACGATCGCGTAGTTTTCTCCAACCAACGAGTATATCTCCTGTGCAACATCTTTCCAAGGCTGACCCTTTTGTTTGGAACCACTTTCAGAACTTTCGCCTCTTTTTCCTCGGTCTGCGACAACTTTGTACTTCCCGAGCGACAGTTTAACGTTTGGGCGATCGACAGTTCCTTTAACAAGTACGGGATCTCGCAAGTATTCTGTGCATAGTTTATCTAAGGACACACGGTCAATGGTAGCGGTCAAAGCTGCAACTGGTGTTGCAGGAAACTTAGCATGAATTTCTTTGAGCGATTCGTAAGATTGTCGAAACCCTGAGTTCCTGTCAAATATTTTGTGTGCCTCGTCCAGTACTACCATTTTTATCTCATCTCTGTGTTGCGCAAAAAAGTGCATGTGTTTGGAAAAGCACTCTGGTGTCATGTAAACAAGCGATGGTTTTTCCTTCTCTTTTTCATCTAGCAATGCAATGTAATTAGCCTTCTCCTTCCCAGCAGGATTACCAAAGGGAATTGCGTTTATACCCTTTTCCTTTAATTGATTTACTTGATTCAATATTAATGAGATTGTAGGAGAAATTACGATAGTGAACTTGAATGTAGAGAACAAAGCAGGGATCTGATACACAAGGCTCTTTCCACTTCCAGTCCGCTGAATGACCACCACGTCATTTTTTTTCTCCACTGCATTAATGGCTGCAATTTGGAAATCACGGAAAGATGTCAATCCGAATTTGGTGAGATAACCTTTCCACAAAATGACTTCGGTTTCACTTGGTTGAAGAACGCTTGCTGGACTTTTGTAGTTTTCCTTTCTTTGGGATTGAATATGGCTTTCGTCAATCGCATTCGTTTCCTCCGTTTCCTGCGAATTCTCGAAATCTTCAATAGCCGACAATAAGA